TTATGATTAGGAAATAAATTCTAAAATCTGCCCTGCTTAACAATCTGTATCAGCAAGAAAACACTTTAAAGTGTCTCTCATAACTAAACTCAGGCACAACCTTGTATAAATCAAAATTTTGCTACCATATCAAAATGTTACACTGGGGCTGTATAACATTGCCCATATCCTCATTACATGCTACACTAATTACTACCAGCAGATTTAGAATTTTCTGCACATTAGAAGCTTTTAGAAGAGCTATAAAAAATTTCAGGCACCATTAATTTAAATTTGTATTGAAATTTCCTTTTGACAGATGGCCAAAAATTACTTACTATTTAGAGCACCAGAGCTGCCTGTTTGCACATTGGAAGAGGAAAGGGAAAAATTAAGAGGAAGAAGGAAATTTATGTCACATTCATTACCTGTTAAATGTTAAGGAGCATTATCCTGCATGAATAAATTATTTCATACAAGCACAGAGACTCCAGCTGCTGGCAACTGGCACATTCTGGCTGACAAAAACCATCTCAAGTCACACAGCAGACAATCATAAAAAGCCTCTCTTAACTGGAAACCACTTAAGGGAGGACGGATTGATCGAACAAGTGACTAACTGCTACTCTGAGCATCACTGAAAACATTTAAGGAAATTTGCAAACTATTTCACCTTGCAAAGTTGGCAGTAAGCCCCATAATGCTGACACGCAAGCCAATTCACAACCTGAACACCGTGCAAGACAAACATCTACTTATCATTTCGAAGTAAATTGGCAAAAAGTAGCGACGCCCTCCTCTCCTTCTGGAAGCTGTGTGAGTAACAGCGCCTTTGAATCATTCCTAGACAAAAATCAGCCTTTTTGGTACAAACACTCCCCCTAACATCCATGCCAGCATAAACACCCTGACATCCCACAAATGTTACAGAAAAATGACTAGCATATGTTGTTTCAAAACAGTGATTGGCATACACTAGCAGTTCTCTTCAGTCACTTTCTTCAGTGAAATGCTCATGGTTCCAACCGCATAGGTATGCAAACTCACTCAGAAAACCAGGTGGGTCTGTATTCCCACATTTAGGTATCTGCCCTACTTGAATTTGTTTGTCTGAGTGCAGGAAAAATGAAAAGGGACTAAATCTATCTGTTCATAGTGAAGAGGCAATGTTCTAGGGAAATCATCATTAATCTGTGCCCAGCCTTGACACATAAAGCAGTAATCCCAGTTTCTAGCTCTCATGACAAGGAGGCTGAAGTGAAATCCGATGCACTGTTGTCTTATGTCAGCAGATAGACAGCTTCAGTGCCTTTGCTGCTCACAGTGAAAACTGACAGTTCCTGTCAACTCCTGGTTGTTATGCAGAGCCATGTGGATAACCACAAAACTGACAACCATCAGCTCATCTGCACGCGGCTGGGACATGTCAGGGCTGCCAGTGGCAGAATGGGTGTTCTGGGGTAGGCTGTGGGACATGTCCCCACCTGTAGCTGCACAAGAAGCAAAGGCATAGCAGGTCTCCAGTGAGGGCAAAGCCTGTGCTCAGCACCATGCTCATTCCAATAACATCCAGGGCACACTAGTAACATCTGCCTGACAAGATCCTGGAAATCTTGTTTAACACATCCTAGACTCACGCTGTGAACATCTCTTTCACCACTTCATCAACCCCAAGAATATATTGTATCTTCCTCAAAATGCATCACTAAAAATTTGACAAATTGGATGTAAATTCTCAATGAGGTGGGCATAGGTCTTGCCATTTGTAAGAGAAATGTATCTTTCATTCCACACTTACCAGCACCTAAAAGGCTCAATCTTTTTTCTGAAAATTGTGCAAACTAGGACAGCAGACCAATCCGGGAGAGGGCAGGGCAAAGATACATGTCCCCTTTTGCAATATAAAAACCCCAGGAGTCTCTGAGGGCTATCAAGTATGGAAAAATCATCCAGGTACATACTCTGAATCATAGCCGTATGCATCACTGAAGGCTCAAAATTAAATAAGCTGCAAGGTGTGTTATTCACCTACCTATGGATACTACCATGCACAGGATGGTACATACAGGTAAGGTGTAGAGTCATTCAGAACCTGAAAATTAATTTTTGGGAAAGGAAGGCAGGATTCCCAGTGTGAGTATCACCTTCATTAGAGTAGGGAGTGACAGCTCACGGCTCTCCAACTACTTGGGCCAGGACAGCAGGCAGCACCCCACCTCTCCCCTGTGAGTGACAGAGCTCTCCTTCCACAATTGCATTATAAGGAAATACCAGAATTACAGTTTACAGCCTCCAACTGACTTAAGACTAATGGCTAGTTCTTTCTGTCTCAGAAGCTTGGACAGAGACCCTTGGCAGGCCTTTCCTTTGATCCAGGAAAAACCTCAATGCTGTTCCAGCAACTTGCTGGTCAGCATGTCACTTGCAGTCCTAGCTGCCCCACTACCAGCCATTTACTGAATGTGATACACAGTCCGTGCAGGGTGCTGCTAATCAATATCAGCATCACAACCCAGTTTCACTTTGTAACTTTTTCCACCACTCTGGGCCACACTTCAGATGAATGCAGTTTGCACGCAGCCTATTGAGCTACCCTTTACACTTACGAAATCAAATCCTACCTTGATGGAGTCTCTGTCTGCATGCAGAGCAGCCCCCGTGCGTAAGGAGGGGAAGAGATCGTGGCAGAGGATGGGGAGGTGGGGGAAGAGAGAAAGAGAAAAGTACTAGTTAGTTTACATAAAATTATACATTTATCATACTCAGAAGAAAGAATCTTGCTGTCTGTTAAATAATAAATTGCACAGATGTTAACTTTTCTGTACAGTTAATTATTAATGCTGTACAGCCAATTATAAAACTGTATTTCTAGCATTTGAACACAATTTCTGGCTACCACTAGATAATAAACACTGAAGTAATTAGGTAGGAATTCTTCTGAAAATTCCTTTCTCCCCCCACCTATTTTTTTTAACAGGAGAGCTTAAAAAAAGAGAAAGAAGGGGAAAAAATGAAGCCACATACTCATCTGTCAGCACCTACCTCTTTGGTGATCGTTATCGTGGTGCTTCTTCTCATCTTTAATTGGGAGGTGGGACTGCCCCCCCAAGGCGCTGGAGAGTGCCAGGAGACCAGCACTGCTGCCAATGGGTGGGATGGCTGGAGGCTGTAAGCCTGAGGGGTGCGGAGTGAGCGGCACGGGAAGACCATGTCCATGTGACAAGTGTTGGGCCTGGAGTTGTTGCTGCTGTGAAAAACAAAACACAGATATCGAATCTGTCCAGGGAGCTGGGGGTTGTCTGATTGATCCTGTACATCAGTCATGATTGATCAGATCAATCAAAGTACCTGATTGACTCAGATTTTATAAATGTCCATATGTTTGGACACAACACACCCGGTAAACTTCAGACTTAATTAAAAGAACAACAGCAATGGACAAAAAAAAAAAAAGAGGAACGAAATGTTATTGTTTGGGTGAAAATTTTATTTTTCTGATAGAGTTATTACATTTTTCTATTTCTAGTAGAAATGCGCCATGTGCACATCTAATCAAAACATATGTAACTATAAAAGCAGTTATATAATGAAAAAAAAAAGCTGAAAATTGAGAAAATTAGTGTTAAACAGTTCTCCCAGCGCTACTGCACAGCATGCAGTGAAAGTTAATTTGAAAGAGAAAACCTGAATTAACAATCCAGAAAAGAAACTGGCTGCAGCCACCGTTTTAAGCCCTTTAAGTGTCCTCAGCGGTACTTGAGCAAATTACTAAAGAAAATCTAATGTAGCAAGGCTTGGGTCCTCCTGTAGGCTTGCTCAATAATGCTGAAATAATTGGGCACTCTGTGCACGTTTAGTGATGCTCGAATGAAAAGCTAGAGGCCTGCCCTTGTACTCTTCTCTAGCTGCTGATTCTGTGTTGTGACAGGTTTATTTGAGTGGGACTGTGATGCATGCACCAGTAACTGCACTGACAAGAGTTTAAAGTCATTTTTACCAGTACACTGGCAACACATAGAGAAAGCCCTTGAGAAGTTCGAATTGGAGTGCTTGACCTCAACCAGGGCTGCATCAAGCTCTGTACTATACTAACCACTGTGGGGTAGATAGACTGTTGCTATTCATTGGGAAAGCAGAGGGAAAAAAACCCCAACAAATCAACAACAAACAGGTGAAAACGTTTAGTTAAACATAACCCAAGCAAGATCTGGCTCATGCCTAAGGCTTGCACACTAATCATCCAACTAAATTCTGTGCATACGATAACTAGAATAGCTCTGGAATTTTCTTTTTGTTTTGAAGCAGCCATTGCTCAGGACTCAGGGAAAATCAAATCCTGAATCCTTTAGGACTGTTCTCTCCCCTGTGCATGTCTGTATACAGGACTTTAGAAGAGAAATAGAAATTTAACTTGCTCTGCATAAAATCATTCCACCTTAAATTCCTAACTGCTAAGGCTTGAGTCCTACTTTTGTTTGTTTTTCATCTGAACCTAAATTTACTTCCCACCTTGCAACCCAGCTCTTTAATCAATCAAGAGACATGTTCACTTGACTTTTCCCTCCCTTCTGCCAGCATGAATCTTTACATTAGGGTGAGCTGAAAGTAAAAGGCTGCAAGTCACACACAGCACGCTAGATAAGTCTTGCAGTACACTGCACGCACGCCTCCCTTAACACCCCCCTGTGAAAGCACAGATCCTTCTCTTCCTCTTGGAAATAAAACCCATGAAGTGGAATCAGATTGGCAGTGGTACGCACATGTCATCTAATCCAGATCAGTGCCAGGGAAAGGAGGGGAGTGATCCAAAAGAAAGGTGAGGAAAAAAAAATACAAAAGGGGGTGGGGGGCACACACCAAAAGAGAGAAGAAAAAAAGAAAACCAGAAAGAACATTTTTCCAGGTGGAAAGAGGGGGGAAGGCTCAATCTCTTCCATGCTTGCAAACTCGTATCATTCCAGCAGGTGTTCCTTCTTCTAGGAAAGTATCAAACACATTTTGCTTGCTTGATGCTCCTATGGCAAGATGCTTCATTTTTCAGAATTTTGAATTAACTACAATGAAATGAAGCAAGAGCAAACAGTGTATTGTTTAGCTTCAGGGTTTGAATGGGGCTGCCTTACAGCAAGGGAACAATCTGGCATGCCTGATTTGGTGGAGGGAGGAAGAGAGTGAACGAAAGAAAAGGGATGGACAAAATAATCTGTGTTAACTCATTTTGAGCAAAGAATTTCCCATTCCTATTTGAGAATGCACTATAAACCACCACAAGAAGATGTCTGCCTGAATCTGCCAGTGGTTTAAAACAACGGCTTTGGGAAGAGCCTGAGTGTATCAAGTGACAGAGCTTTCCCCTTGCTAACTGTTTCACTGTCAACCTAAGAGGGACACTCATTGCATTACACTGTACAGATCTGCCTACAGATGTAGCCAATTTGCATTATATTACCTCCTCTATGGCTATGGCATGGTTTCCAAAGAGCTGGAAGAAAACTGCACTGTGAATGAAATCCGCTTTTTTACTGCTCTTTGTTGGGAACCGTTCTACACAGCTCAGCAAGATAACACACAGACTCAACCTTGGATGTACAGAACATCATTAATGCCTTTCAGACATAATATGGGCTTGAAGAGTAGTATGGCTAATGACACCTCAGTGACTAGCAGCCTGAAATCACCCAGAACAGCTTGGCTGGCCCAGTCCCTCTTGGCCAAGAACCAATGTGTTTTCACTGCAAGTTGAATTGCAGAGAGCTCTGAAAATAACTGCAAAGAGCTGGGAAAAAAAACCAGCAAACTCAGAGCCTTCCTGCCATGGAGAACTTACATAAAGAGACCGAGCTCTTCCATGAAAAGTGATGGGAATCTGAAATGGAACGAACATGTTCCCTGAACCATCACAAGTGTCATTCATTGAATACAGAAGAAATTTGGTGGAATTTAGCCACATTGTAATAACACAAAGAAAATATTTTGGTATGAAAAACAGTCTGTTCAGTAAATCTAAGCTAACACCCAAAATTTTAGCATAGCCCCACATGCCTGTGCCACACAAACACAGAAAATGTACATACTGTTACACGAGGGTGGGAGTAAAAGTTCAGCAATGGGAGGAGGATCATGGACTAGGATTGCATTGGTATGGGAAAGTACTATGAGTTCCTCCAACATGATGACCAATGTTGAACATCAAAAATGAGGCACCAGTCCAAAACCAGAAATGATGGGAATTCAAGTGAAACACTGAGCAGGCTTTTAGTCTCAGGATATAGAAGCAGAAAAGGAAATAAAAGTATATAGTCACATAATTAGCTGCTTGCTAATAGGCTTAATGAAGAAGGTAAAGACAAAGTGACAGCATATCTCTGACTGCCACTTCCAGACCTTTGAAAACTATTAATGTATTCAAATACCCACAACATCTGACAGCTTGGTTTTGCTCTTCCATGGCCCATGGGGGTCACTGGTGAGCATCAGCTTCCCAGGTGCCCTGCATGCAGCTATTTGGTTTCAGGGGAAGTTATAAAAACACAGGCAACTCCTTAGCCCACTGGGCATCAGGTTAGTGCTACAACGTGGTAAAAAAAGTGATGCCCTCCAGTCATCAAAACGCCAAAGATACGGAAGAGTAAGATAACTGACAGATATTCTCCACACATGGAAACATTCTGATATGGAAGGAAGTTTACATTTGTTTCTGCCTGTAGCATGAATTTATATAGTAAAATCTGACACAATGCAAAAATTTGCAAGGAAATCCTGAAAATGAGCCAACTGAACAGCCACATAATTTTTTCTGATGTTGCTATAATGCCTACTTTTCCCCCTTCTCCATCTTCTCTTTAATTTGTTACCTTCAGTCATGTTATTTATGAACTCTTGGCATGTGGTTAACTTTAGATAACCCCATCAGAGTTGACTACAGTATGCGTAAAGTATACATTTTCAGCATCAATGCATAATAGGTGAAAGCTCGGAAAGGCAGGCTCTAATAGTGCTGTAAAATTTCCAAAACTATTAGAAAATAAACCCAGCAACAGTTAGTTACCAACAAGTGTGCCCTACAGAAATTCAAAATGCACTACAGTGTCTTTAAGGAACATCCAACACACAAAAAATATAAGAGCAAGGAGTAAACACAGCAAACAGAAACAAGTCAAAAAGAAAACTGCATTATTTTTAGCAATAAGTTTAGGAAGATGATAAGTTACATCAGGTCACTAGTAAAACCTGAAGTAAAACTTTCAAAATATATTAATACACGTCAAATAAAGACAGCATCTGGTTGCTACAAATGGTATTTTATTTTCTGTATATTCTTCTAGGCAGTCTACAGTAAGGAATAAAATAACTCCAAAGTCACATCTAAACAAATGGGTAAAAAGGCTTTGCAAAAGGTTTTTATCTGAGTATCACTAATTTTCTAAATATTGATGCTTAGCTTACTTCTTTTCCCAACGCATCTTAAGAGATCAAAGTAAAATGTGATAACAAACCCACTAACAAATTAGCTTCGCATGCTCTCTTGTTATAGTCAGCACATTCAAAGCCTATTTCCCTGGAAAATGTTCAAGTTTTTACTGGATACTTTCCAAGCAGCTCTGTGTTGCAGTAATCTAACACTTTCCCTCTTAAAGACCCTGAAAGCTCACAGCCATTATCCAAACAACCTGAACATACTCCTCTAACCTAAAGAACATTTCTAATGTTAACTAATGTCTCAGAAAGATATTTTCTCTTTTACATTTACACACATGCATGCACTACCCGCACCTGCAATACTGTTGGGAGGAGAACTCAAAAAATCTGGAGAAAGTAGCTTCATTGTTTGCATTAAACTAGATTATGTGATTAATTGCTCAGAGTGAATCATTAGTAAGATAGCATACAGATAAAACAGAAACCATGATGAAGAGGAAACAAAGACATAAAAACAATGGCTCAAGAGTACACAATATCAATGTCAATGGTTTGAAGACCATCAAAGGAAGTTCTTTGACACATGTAGTTATGACTGTGCTTAGGTGATATGAATTTTTATCTATCACACCTATTGACATGACGTGCACTACTTGTACTTCCTTTGTACTGTTCTCTCTCCGGTCGCATACCATTACTATAAAAAGTTTTTCTGATTGGTGTTAAGATACAACACAGCAGAACAGCCTACAATGAGAGTCATGCAGCAGTTCCTCCAGTGGAACAGTTCTGAAGCTATATGCATATATACCATATGACTGGTTTGCC